ACCCACCAGCAGGGGCGTAGATTACGCGGGGGCACTTTTTTATTGGAGAGTTGTGTTTACGACATGTTGAGGTTTTAATGGAGCGATGTATATAAATGCAGAATGATTTAAAATTAAAAGAGAAGATAGTCTATACATGACGTTCACGTTTCCATGGCAATCAGTCACTCTGTCACGTCATGACACGCCCTAGCTCGCATCCGCGGTCCCGCGCTGTATCCAACATTCATAGAGCTCGCGATGAGTTCAAAGCGACAAAAAACTCTTCACTCGTTTTTACGAAAAAGTCAAGCAGCGTAAGTTGGCATGTGGTATCCGAATTGTGTTGCACACTGTTGAGTAACTCTGCCTATTGCTCTTGTTGAATAATTAGCTAGTTTTGATGGAAATTATAAGGGAAAAATAGATGCTTGGACAAACGTTCACTTATTTTCTGTGTATTTTCCGTAACTCTTTTATAACGTCTTTTATTTTAACAAGTATGTCATCAAAACCTTTCAAATAAGAATAAAGATCATGTTGAACTGAGATTTTACAGTGTTTACAGCATGTTTAACTCTGCCAATTCTGCATAATATAATTCAATCAAGTATGCATGCACTGACGATCTGATATAGGAGCGATCTTCATTTATGGGGTGCTCTTTCATTATTGCACTAATTTTACGTTTTTATGTGTTGTCAAGAATTAGCAAGAAACAGACAGCCTAGGTTTGTCAGGGCAGAATCAGGATGTAACACAAGAAAAAGAAATGAGTTAAATTCGCTACACCAGCATCCTCTCTGGTCAACACCTGCACTCAGTCAGCCATCACCACACCTACCATAGATGATCTGGCATAGGGTTGGCTGCTGTAGAAGTAGGCAGGTCTTCTGTAACTGTATTAAAACCCCACCAGCCAGATCCTAAGACTATTGTGTGTCAGGTGCATGGACTGTAGAATAGAACAGAATAAAGTAGTATGTGAATGTGCAAGTATATACACAAAATACAATTTTAAATATGTAAACAATATACTCTCAGTACCCTTATAAGGACATCTTTGTACTTTATACTCGAAAAGGTGCACATTAGTACCTTAGAGTACCAATATGTACCTTAATGTACAACTATGAAACTTTTTGGGGTAAATAATGTACAAAGATGTCCTTTTAAGGGTGCTGTCCCAGTGACATGCTGTTGTATTTCTCTCTTTCTCTTTGTTTCTTTCTCTCTTTCTTCTGTTTTATAATCATATATAATAATATAAGCATAAAGCATATAAAGCAAAAAAGGTACGATTAAAAATAAAACCTGTCAATTAGACAAGGGAAAAAACAGGTATAACACTAGACATTCCGTCCCCCCCACTTTTGAAATAATGGCTACGCCCCTGCCCACCAGCACCTGCAGCAAATAAAGAACTCTTTATGCTAATGTAGCAAGAGGCCCAGTTGTAGTGACTACGCCACACTGGACTACCGGGGAAAATAACCCAAATAAGGGCACGCAAATCAACTTTTGAAAAAGGGTTCACAAAAGTAAGAAAAAAAACAAGATTACAAATTACTCAAAACAAAATACCAAACAGAAAACAAACAAATAAACGAACAAACATCAAGCCCACTTAGATACTAGACATGGGCGTAATTAAACTCCCAAAAAGCAGCAGCGTGGCTCGAACAATGTAGAATAGGAAACGAGCTGTATTAATTACCGCTTCCGCTCAACCTATTCCAAAACACACACAGCACAATTACAACTACAATAAAACATCCGAAGTTATTTAGCTATTAGAGCGATTTACCTACCCGTTAATACGATGGTGTAATGCTCATGACAACAGATCATACAACAACCTCTTTAAAAGGCTCCTCTTTAAAAGGTGACAGCGACAACAGCTGGTGCTACGACCTGGGCTACGTTACACTGCGAGGCCACAATCAATGGGGGCCGTGAAGGCACACCGCACTGAAACACAAAAACTCATATTAAGCTGAATACAATTTCCCCCAGCTTCCCATATGTCATTACTTACCTGAGCAAACAACGCATGCACCCAGTATGTCTCAGCAGCCTAACAACACACATGGAAGGCCATAACAGGAGGGAAGGGGCGGGCTTTCAACTATGACGCACTCCAAGAGGCAGAACCAACCAACTTATATACCCTAACCGGGCAGTCGCTCATTGGCCATCTAATTAATGATGGTGACGTTTTGACAACATCACTACACTAAGTTACAGTGATCCATCAATGGAAGTAAACAGGGGACAGTTTCTGGAAGACCTAACAACAGAAATGTGAACCTGAATGAAAAGCACTCGCATTAATTCTTCTATTAAAACCTGTGTAAGGTAAGATTTGTTATGTCAATTTTCAAATAATTTTAGGGTCTTAGGTGTTCCTAAAAAGTAGTAAAATTCAATTTTTTCATAACTTTACAGAAAATGGAGAAGTTATTTTTCCCCTCATTAAAATAAAATATATGGATATATTAATGAAACGGTGAGTATTTTAACTAGCCTCATTCACTTTTACTGTAAGTGCCTTTTTTAAAGATTTTTTTATTTTATATAGAGGAGGTGAGTCAAAATAAAATGGTGGTTATCAACATTATTTCACAACCATTTTAGATTGAGCTTAACTTGTACTGAATGTGGAATATTCCTTTAAAACCACAAACGTTCGGTGTCATCCATACATAAATATCTGTACATCTGTGATGTTTTAACACACCAATCCCATGCATACCTGAACCATGTGTGCATATTTAGATCTGGGTCAACATTTCCTTCAAAACATCCTTTAGAAAACAATCATCTGGATTCCATTTCTCATGCTTGCATAGCATAACACACACACTCCTATTCAGGAGAGGCATGTTGTGAGTGGCCCAGACTGCAGGTATACACATGCAATTATAATTATAAATGACAGAGAACTAAGTCTCTCAGCTCTCAGCCAGTAGAGTAGGAGTAATAAGGAGCTACAGTACGTGATGTATTGCTGATCATGCAGGACTGGAGTCATGCTGTGACTGCGCCCCTTTAGTCTTAACCCCAGTAAGATACTAGGGGTCCGCTGATCTATTAACATCATCATAAATAATCTCCACTTGCTTATTGCTGGTAGATGACACATCCGGTGGGTTTCGCAGATGGGTGGAGGTGTGCAGCAGATCATACATGCTGTGATAACTGTATTCAATGTATCATTCAAGATTCTGGGAGCAGTGTGTCACACAAGTTGGTTTTTTATGAAGCATATAAAGAAAACAAAAGCTCACTCTGTTTATGGAAAGTCCTCTTGGTGAATTTACAAACAACAGACAAATATTTTTTCCTTTTTGATTTCTAGCAGAACAGTGCAGATTCAGTGCAACAAAGTGTTTCTTAAGCGTTGAGATTGGCCAGACTGTTGCGCAACTTACTTCCAGGCAGGCCTTGGCCTCAAAACACACCGGAGATAAATCCAAGCAAACATCGTACCTTTCAACACACACACGCACACACAGTTACAGTTGCTCTGGAATTTCCATTACCAAAACAGCCTAGCTCTCTTTTCCTAAATCTAAACCTCCCACTGAGCTGTGGGCAGGTCACAGGATAATAAATAAATGCCTCTCACACACACATGCTCATAAACCGGCGAGAAACAGCCTCAGTCCCGCAAAGAAACGCCAGTGGATAAAAGAGAAATTACGGAAGAACTAAAGAATAAGAGTAAAAGCTGGTTTTGATGATTACATTGCATTGCCAAACAGCTTTTGGGGATATGAACACCGTTATTGGCACAGACGATTCAGAAAATCTGCAATAAAATCACACTCTTAGTCAGTGATTTCAACAGTCAGGATCTGATTCTACAAGAGATCAGTGGATTTTTCAGAGACTGGGGCACAATTTCCTGAAAATTTATTTCTTTAACATCTTCTTTAAAGATTAACATCTTTATCGGTGAGCATTTGTTGATTCTTCTTAGCATATTTTATTTTATTTTATTTTATTATTTTATTTAATTTAATTTGCTGATTCTTTTAAAAAGTCTTTTAGGATTATTTAGGTTTTAGTTTTTTGCCTTTAGGTTGTAATCAGTGTGTATTTTGCAATATATCAGCCTATGTACTTTTAAAGTAACAAAATAAACCATAAATTAACTGGTGCACCCAAATGTACTGTGTGCAGACCATAATCAAATTTGATTATACCATCATCGCCTGTGGTGGCCCCAAAAAAAAAAACAAGCATTTAAATAACTCAAGCAGAAATATAATCATCTACAGCCACAGCACTTGTACCAAATCTGAAATGAAAAGTGTAAATAGTGTTCTTTTAATGCACGTTTTTAGTGCAACTTTATTTATCTTACTGTGTATGGTGTCATCTCTTATTTTTTAGAAGTGAATTCAGACTCGGTTGCAATGACAGATCTCAGTGAAAAGATGCATAAACCGGAGACAGTGTGTATCTTTGGAACGGGTGATTTTGGACACTCACTGGGGCTCCGTTTGCTCCAGTCAGGATACAATGTTGTGTATGGATCCAGGGGCCCTAAAAACTCTCTGTTGCTGCCTAAGGGGTCAAAGGTCATGACTCATGCAGAAGCAGCTTGTGAAGCTCGTGTGGTATGTTTATGGAAAGTCCTCTTGGTGAATTTACAAACAACAGACAAATATTTTTTCCTTTTTGATTTCTAGCAGAACAGTGCAGATTCAGTGCAACAAAGTGTTTCTTAAGCGTTGAGATTGGCCAGACTGTTGCGCAACTTACTTCCAGGCAGGCCTTGGCCTCAAAACACACCGGAGATAAATCCAAGCAAACATCGTACCTTTCAGCACACACACGCACACACAGTTACAGTTGCTCTGGAATTTCCTCATTGGACTTTATCCATTACCAAAACAGCCTAGCTCTCTTTTCCTAAATCTAAACCTCCCACTGAGCTGTGGGCAGGTCACAGGATAATAAATAAATGCCTCTCACACACACATGCTCATAAACCGGCGAGAAACAGCCTCAGTCCCGCAAAGAAACGCCAGTGGATAAAAGAGAAATTACGGAAGAACTAAAGAATAAGAGTAAAAGCTGGTTTTGATGATTACATTGCATTGCCAAACAGCTTTTGGGGATATGAACACCGTTATTGGCACAGACGATTCAGAAAATCTGCAATAAAATCACACTCTTAGTCAGTGATTTCAACAGTCAGGATCTGATTCTACAAGAGATCAGTGGATTTTTCAGAGACTGGGGCACAATTTCCTGAAAATTTATTTCTTTAACATCTTCTTTAAAGATTAACATCTTTATCGGTGAGCATTTGTTGATTCTTCTTAGCATATTTTATTTTATTTTATTTTATTATTTTATTTAATTTAATTTGCTGATTCTTTTAAAAAGTCTTTTAGGATTATTTAGGTTTTAGTTTTTTGCCTTTAGGTTGTAATCAGTGTGTATTTTGCAATATATCAGCCTATGTACTTTTAAAGTAACAAAATAAACCATAAATTAACTGGTGCACCCAAATGTACTGTGTGCAGACCATAATCAAATTTGATTATACCATCATCGCCTGTGGTGGCCCCAAAAAAAAAAACAAGCATTTAAATAACTCAAGCAGAAATATAATCATCTACAGCCACAGCACTTGTACCAAATCTGAAATGAAAAGTGTAAATAGTGTTCTTTTAATGCACGTTTTTAGTGCAACTTTATTTATCTTACTGTGTATGGTGTCATCTCTTATTTTTTAGAAGTGAATTCAGACTCGGTTGCAATGACAGATCTCAGTGAAAAGATGCATAAACCGGAGACAGTGTGTATCTTTGGAACGGGTGATTTTGGACACTCACTGGGGCTCCGTTTGCTCCAGTCAGGATACAATGTTGTGTATGGATCCAGGGGCCCTAAAAACTCTCTGTTGCTGCCTAAGGGGTCAAAGGTCATGACTCATGCAGAAGCAGCTTGTGAAGCTCGTGTGGTATTCGTGGCTGTGCAGAGGGAGCACTATGGATTTTTGAGCTCCCTGGCTTCAGATCTTGAGGGAAAGGTGCTGGTAGACGTCAGCAATAATCTCAGGAGGGGTCTGTACCCAGAATCCAATGCAGAATACCTGAGCAGGCTGGTTCCAGGGGCGACGGTAGTCAAAGCCTTCAACACCATCTCTGCCTGGGCACTGCAGTCTGGAGGACTAGATGCCAACAGACAGGTAAAACACACACAAACACAATTCAATCAGGTGGACAGAATATACTAACAGGCAGGTAAAAAGTAAATAAATGTAATATTGTTTCATGCTTCCACAAATTCACAAAAATAAACACATTTTGGTCAGACGAAGCAATCAAAGAGCTATAAAATTAGTGAGAGAAAATGATTAAGACCGAAATTCTCATGCATGAGTCCCCAAATTTTTCATAATGTTGTTAATCATTTAAGCAACAAGTGGCAAAGCACAAATAAGCTGTTTTGAACAGGGCTGTCTAAAATTTAATGAATCAAGCTTAACAGACTTGTCTCACAAAACAGCCTTGAATGAAGGTGTTTGTATGAGCTTTTGTTATAATATAAACAGAAAGACAAATCAGACATGACAAATGGCATACCGCTGCACATATTTGTTGCATCTCTACTGTAAGGCAGCTGGATGACATATATCATCCAACAAAAACAAACACTGTGTTTCTACACAGTACAAAAGAGGCATTAATGTATGTATAAATGTCTGTGTCCATGTCATAATGCTCTGTTTTAGCAGTTCATTGTTCATGAAATGAGGCAAGCATCTCCCTCTTAGCGATAGAGTCTTTATGTAGGAAAGTCATATTTACATCAGCAGGTGGTGGTTGAGAAACTGGCCAGATGGAATCTGACCTCTGGCAAACTATTATTATCGTTATGTTAGTGCGTATGTTCTTTGACACCTGTTTGTGTGTTTCTCAATAAAAATGAATTGTCACACACGGCCAAGCAGTCTATTTGTTATTATTTCTCATTTTGATTATAATTTCTTGTTCTTTTTTCTAAAGGCCAACTGTGACAACATATTGTATTGGTTAGGCCCAGACTGCGCATTGCTGTGAACTAAATTTAATTCCCAGAGGATATTTCACTGCTGTCTGAAACTATTAAAGATGCATTTTGTTTCAAAAGGTTGTGTAGGTCAACAGAATGGAAACTTGTTAGAATAAGTCAAAAATAATCAAAACCCTTGAAAATAATTTGCTGCATGAGTAGTTTTTGTTGTAACACTTTACAATAAGGTAAACATTAGGTACCATGAACTATGAATGACTTAGGTTACCGTTTAGAATTTACAAATATAGTATTGATTTATTAATTCATAATAAATCAATGTCAATTTAAACTTGAAATCTTAAGAATCTATGAATATATGTAAAAATTAACATTAAATGTGATTAAATGTGCACTACGATTTTCCATTACTTAATGAAAAAAACCATCAATGTTCAAAACTGTGTTCCTGCCTTTACCCTGATTCACTACGACAAGCCTACAGTAATGTATCCGACCAATCGGGTCAGATTTGGCCAACCAACTATACAAGTAACTTGCCATTTTGTGTTTCAATGTCCGTTTTGTTAGTAGCAGGTGAATATTAAATAATATTACTTAATATATCTGTAGTCTGAAGTGAATTCAATTTGTTTTCTATAACACGTTAAATTGTATACACTGTTTTTCTTCTTCTTCATCATCATTTGATTAGGTACTTCTCTGTGGAGACCGTTCTGACGCTAAACAGCAATTGATGGACATTGCTCAAAGTCTCGGTTTCACTGCCGTGGACAGAGGCTCCCTCTGGGCGGCTGCTGATTTAGAAGATCTGCCCTTGCAACTCTTCCCTCTCTGGAGACTTCCTCTCAACATCGCCATTTGTTTAACAGCTTTCATATTCTTCTACACGCTCACAAGAGATGTTATCTATGAGCGTGTTAACAATGGTAAAGACATCGCTTTTCGAATTATGGTCTCGCTGGCCAACAAGGCCTTTCCCATCGTCTCTCTGGTGATGCTGTCCTTCTGTTACCTGCCGGGCGCGTTGGCTGGATTTCTGCAACTTTATAATGGCACTAAGTATCGTCGCTTCCCTGATTGGTTGGATCGCTGGATGCTGTGCAGGAAGCAGCTGGGTCTGCTAGCACTGGCCTTCGGTTTTCTACATGTTCTCTACACTTTAGTTATACCCATCAGATACTATGTACGCTACAGGATAAATGTCTACACTATATCACTGGTAAGTTAAATACTTTTAAGAATACTATTCTTATTCTTAATTTGGGGGCAGCAGACCGAGTTAGTGGTCCGCTAGGTATACGATTCTTTTAGTTTTGGTGATTTTAAATATCAACGGTGTTTCTCAGAAATATCTTACTTCACATTTATTAAAAATATAATCCACTAAATTTAGATCCTGGTTGACGTCAAGACATATATGGAACACCCACTTTTCAAGATCCAACAAATTCCTGAGTTAATCAAATTAAGTCCCGCCCTTATTTATTAATTTTTTTTCTTGTTTAAGATCCTGTTTCACTAATAAACAACGTCACATTACTAAAGTAAATTGAGTTGCAAATGCTGTTTGATGACTTTACAGCTCCTAGTTTACTACAGGCAGGTTTGGGCAAAGATACATCAAAATGTATCTTAAAATAAAATACCAAATACATTAATTTTTACTGTATCAAAATAAACTACAAAATACAGCAACCACACCAAGTATCGAAATAAATTACTGTATTTGTGTATTTTAAAAATACGAAAAAATACTTTTACAAGGGAGCATGACATTTCTTTGCAAACCTTCCATCAGTTGGTCTTATTTGATCTATCCCTTCACCATTACACTGACAATGTTTGATAGCAACAGCTTTTCTCTGCCCGAGTCATGCAATAAATCTGACATATGCAACCTGTGAACAGATAAAATATTCACATATCCCTGTGATCTCCCAGATGAAGGTTAGTTTTAAAGTAACCAACATTTTAATGTTTAACAGTTTGCGAATGACTCATAGTTGTATAACTTAGTTACTTGGTGCTTGGTAACGAAGGGCCTACTTTGCATCATCAACACTGACTTAATGACATACAAGTCATTCATAAGAAGACAACTGATGGCACCTGTATTCATAGCAACTAGTTAACTAATTAATCATTTGATTGTTAATCATAAATATAATAATATATTATGTGTCAGGCAGTCATTCATGCAATGGTATGCAAAATCATGATCCTACTAAACAGCTACTTCAATTAGGGTACAATATTTAGCAATCAAATATTTATTTATCAATCATTGGACACCTATTTAGTAGTTGAAAACAAACATTTTAGCATTACAGCAATTATTAAACGATCAATACGTTTTGATTTTAAATGTAGCCAGAAACATATTCAGAAAGTAGCAACAGAACTTGTCAAGGAGTATTAATCCAACTCCAACCACTGAATCAATTGAGAGCCATAGAAATATAAAGAACACATACACATGTACACTTATAATAAGTGCAATTGCACCAAGCACAGCACATTCTATCACTCATTCATTCATGCTTCCTTTTCCACACCAACGTTCCAATAATTCCTACCCATTAAAAGCTGCACGAATATATTTGCTTACCCCGACAGGCCTATCTGTGTAAACGATTTAGAAAAAGTACAGTCGATTCACATTTTATATCATCGCCACGATATGTATTGTCATATCAACCAGCCCTAACATGCACTAATTCTTTAAACACCTTTGACAAGCTAGTTGATAAAAAACAACAATCGATTAACTATTAAAACTGATTGGATAACGCTATTTTTCCCCTTGTCAGTGCTCTTTCATGTTCATATTAACTGAAGGGAAATCTGAATGAAGCACTATTTTAACTTTAATCAACATGTACAGTTGACCATGCCATCCTCACCTTATCTTATTCCAGAAAGGTCCCTCACCCAATGCCGAACGGAGTTGTACTGTACAGCTGCAGCTCACTTGATGAATGTTAGGGTTGGGGGGAGGGGTGTGTCTGAACTAAATCAGCACCCTGATAAAGAGGTTGACTGGCACAAAGTATTTAATGTATTTTGAAAATACAAAAATACTAATCTTAAATTTATTTGAATACAAATTACATTTGATTTTTGCCAAAGGCTTTAAAATACAAAATAGTATTTTGTATTTCAAATACGTATTTTAAACATCTGAAATACTGCCCATCCCTGACTACAGGCTACATTAAAGCTGTAAAAATGGTGTGCACATCTGCCCAGATTAAAACAAAGACACATACAGACACAAAAAAAATAGAGCTTTTAATAAAACCTATGAGTTTGACAACATGGCAGCCTGGCGTTATGACTCCTACTATTCCATGGGAATTCTTGGATTTGGGCTGTTTGTCCTATTAGGAATTACATCCCTTCCATCTGTGAGCAATTCCCTAAACTGGAGGGAGTTCCGTTTTGTACAGGTATTACACTGACAGTCTGTAGAAATGCATCAGTTTGAGTGTCACTGGAGAATATTTTACTAATTAGTTTAGAAAATATTATATAATATGGACAATGATGTTTTTTGTCTGGTTATAGCTGAAAGACATCTATTATATTACATTAGTATATATATATTCACAGTATTGATCAGAACAAATGTTTCCAGTAGGTTTTTAATGTTGAACTATGATCAAAGAAACACATTGACTGATGTTTTATGATTTTTCTTCATTCCTTTACAGTCTAAACTAGGCTACATCACCCTGCTTCTCTGTACTGCTCACACATTTCTGTATGGCTGGGACAGATTTTTGAAACCTTCATCATATAGGTGGTGGATGCCTCCAGCATACATGTTGTCTCTTGTGGTCCCCTGTGTGGTTCTGATTCTAAAGCTAATCCTGATCACTCCATGCGTGGACAGCAAGGTCACCCGTATCCGTCAAGGCTGGGAGAGACAGGGCAAGACTTCAGCAAACGGCAGAGATACAAAGACAAACCAACCACTCATGGCGTAGCCATCTTTAAACTTTATGAAAACTGTGTGTTGGACTTGCCCCGAACTCTACTGCTGAAAGTGGTTTGAAATGTTGCAATGGAAAAAGTGCAGAGAACTAAAGACTTACTTGAGCAACTGACTTTGGACTTGACTTGGGCTCAAAATTAGAGACAACATACATCTTTAGGTCTACAAGAAAAGGAGAAATATTTCCTCCTAATACAGGCATTGGGCCTCATTCATGAAACATTTGTAATATGAGTGAATTCTAATTAATGTACGCGTAAAACGGACCTTCCCAAAAACTCTCCTCTGGATTCACAAATACTTTGTAAAGGTCAGATTTGATAGTTAAATGTGTGTATGTTATTGAATTCCAACCATTCGTAAATAGGGTGCGCATGCACACTCATTCACAATTAGCATAGGCCTATCCCCTGCATATGAATTACAGCTACATAAATTACGTATCTAGGAATGGTGTGGAATCCTTTGAACTCAATTCTCAGGTTTAGCAAGTTATATTGCATAAATGCATAAGAGACTAATAGTGTTACGGGGCAAACAAGACGCGAGACGTACGGATCCATTTGCAAGCTTTATTAAGGGCGTGGTCAAAACAGGCGAGGGTCAGGCAATGGCAAACAGGTATATAGAAGACAAAACAAGAGCAGTCCAGTAAACAAGCGAGGGACAGTCAACGGCGAACGTAATCCAACAGGGGTGAGACTAGAGGGATAATCCAGGTACAAAGCAAAGGTCCAGGCAGGGGCAAACAGTATCCGAACAGGGCAAGATGAGAGAGGTAATCCAAAGTACACAGGCAATGATCAGAAGACGAGGAAATAGACAAGGCAAGACTAAGAAACTTAAAGCAGGCTCCGTAACGCAGCTATCACAACTAGCGATATGCTCGGCAGCCTGAAAGGGATCTGAGTGAGTGTTATATAGTGAATGTGTGATTGGTTACAGCTGTGTGCAATCAGTGCTGTGTGTAATCAGTGCAATGGATGATGGGATATGTAGTCCGGGATGACATGCAACAGTTTGTGTAGTGCGAGAGTCAATGTAATAGAAGGGTGACCTCTGGTGGTGATTGAACGGAAGTCCATGGACAGGATTCGTGACATAACCCCCCCCCTCCAAGGAGCAGCTTCCAGACGCTCCGAACACTTTACGGTTCAGGAGGGCGGTGGAGCGGAGGTGGGACAGGGGGAGGGACAGAGGGCCAGGTCCACGTGGAAGTGGAGAGACCAGGGACTGGGGCAGGACCAGCGGAGCAGGGAGCCAGGGCGGAGCCGGCAGTACAGGTGGAGCTGAGGACCACCACAGCAGAGCAGACGGGACCAAAGATCCCCACAGCGGAGCAGAAGACCACCAGAGCCAGAAAGCAGACCACCAGAGCCAGAAAGCAGACCACCACGGCAGAACAGAAGATCACCAGGCCGGAGCAGATGGGACCGAAGCCCACCAGGGTGGAGCAGACAGAGCAGAAGCCCACCACGGAGGGCCAGATTGATCAGGAGACCCTGGCAGAGACTGAGACAGAGATGAGAATTCCTGAACGGCCCTTGTAGCTGCAGCAGATCAGTCAGTAAGTTCACAGACAGCATCTTCAGGTGTGACAGATAAGGCAAAGAGTTCAGAAACAGCTTCTTTGGCTGGATTGAGACAGAGCAATAGGTCGCAAATGGCCTCTTTGGCCAGTTCAGGATGAGACAATAGTTCCAATGGCAAACAGGTATATAGAAGACAAAACAAGAGCAGTCCAGTAAACAAGCGAGGGTCAGTCAACGGCGAACGTAATCCAACAGGGGTGAGACTAGAGGGATAATCCAGGTACAAAGCAAAGGTCCAGGCAGGGGCAAACAGTATCCGAACAGGGCAAGATGAGAGAGGTAATCCAAAGTACACAGGCAATGATCAGAAGACGAGGAAATAGACAAGGCAAGACTAAGAAACTTAAAGCAGGCTCCGTAACGCAGCTATCACAACTAGCGATATGCTCGGCAGCCTGAAAGGGATCTGAGTGAGTGTTATATAGTGAATGTGTGATTGGTTACAGCTGTGTGCAATCAGTGCTGTGTGTAATCAGTGCAATGGATGATGGGATATGTAGTCCGGGATGACATGCAACAGTTTGTGTAGTGCGAGAGTCAATGTAATAGAAGGGTGACCTCTGGTGGTGATTGAACGGAAGTCCATGGACAGGATTCGTGACATAACCACCCCCCCTCCAAGGAGCAGCTTCCAGACGCTCCGAACACTTTACGGTTCAGGAGGGCGGTGGAGCGGAGGTGGGACAGGGGGAGGGACAGAGGGCCAGGTCCACGTGGAAGTGGAGAGACCAGGGACTGGGGCAGGACCAGCGGAGCAGGGAGCCAGGGCGGAGCCGGCAGTACAGGTGGAGCTGAGGACCACCACAGCAGAGCAGACGGGACCAAAGATCCCCACAGCGGAGCAGAAGACCACCAGAGCCAGAAAGCAGACCACCACGGCAGAACAGAAGATCACCAGGCCGGAGCAGATGGGACCGAAGCCCACCAGGGTGGAGCAGACAGAGCAGAAGCCCACCACGGAGGGCCAGATTGATCAGGAGACCCTGGCAGAGACTGAGACAGAGATGAGAATTCC